ATTGTGTTCTACATGTAAGAAGTAGAAAGTACAGGTATTTGAGTTCAACATGTAAGAAGTAGAAAGTACAGGTATTTGAGTTCAACATGTAAGAAGTAGAAAGTACAGGTATTTGAGTTCAACATGTAAGAAGTAGAAAGTACAGGTATTTGAGTTCAACATGTAAGAAGTAGAAAGTACAGGTATTTGTGTTCAACATGTAAGAAGTAGAAAGTACAGGTATTTGAGTTCAAATGTAAGAAGTAGAAGTACAGGTATTTGTGTTCAACATGTAAGAAGTAGAAAGTACAGGTATTTGTTCAAATGTAAGAAGTAGAAAGTACAGGTATTTGAGTTCAACATGTAAGAAGTAGAAAGTACAGGTATTTGGGTTCAACATGTAAGAAGTAGAAAGTACAGGTATTGTGTTCAACATGTAAGAAGTAGAAAGTACAGGTATTTGGGTTCAACATGTAAGAAGTAGAAAGTACAGGTATTTGAGTTCAACATGTAAGAAGTAGAAAGTACAGGTATTAGTGTTCAACATGTAAGAAGTAGACAGTACAGGTATTAGTGTTCAACATGTAAGAAGTAGAAAGTACCAGGTATTAGTGTTTCAACATGTAAGAAGTAGAAAGTACAGGTATTTGAGTTCAACATGTAAGAAGTAGAAAGTACAGGTATTGAGTTCAACATGTAAGAAGTAGAAAGTACAGGTAGTTAGTGTTCAACATGTAAGAAGTTAAGGAAAGTACAGGTATTTGAGTTCAACATGTAAGAAGTAGAAAGTACAGGTATTTTGAGTTCAAAGTGTAAGAAAGTAGAAAGTACAGGTTATTGTGTTCAAGATGTAAGAAGTAGAAAGTACAGGTATTGTGTTCAAAATGTAAGAAGTTAGAAAGTTTACCAGGTATTTGTGTTCAACGTGTAAGAAGTAGAAAGTACAGGTATTTGAGTTTCAAGATGTTAAGAAGTAGAAGTACAGGTATTTTGTGTCAAGAATGTACGAAGAGAAGTTACAGGTATTTGTGTTCAAATGTAAGGAAGTAGAAAGTACATGTATTTGTGTTCACGATGTAAGAAGTAGAAAGTACAGTATTGGTTAACACTTAAGAAGTAGAAAGTACAGGTATTGTGTTTCAAGATGTAAGAAGTAGAAAGTACAGGTATTTGTGTTCAACATGTAAGAAGTAGAAAGAAAGTACAGGTATTTGTGTAGAAATGTAAGAAGTAGAAAGTACAGGTATTTGTGTTCAACATGTAAGAAGTAGAAAGTACAGGTATTTGGGTTCAACATGTAAGAAGTAGAAAGTACAAGGTATTGTGTTTCAACATGTAAGAAGTAGAAAGTACAGGTATTTGTGTTCAACATGTAAGAAGTAGAAAGAAGTACAGGTATTTGTGTTCAACATGTAAGAAGTAGAAAAGTACCAGGTATTTGTGTTCACCATGTAAGAAGTAGAAAGTACAGGTATTTGTGTTCAACATGTAAGAAGTAAGTAGAAAGTTCAGGTATTTGTGTTCAACATGTACGAAGTAGAAAGTTCAGGTCTTGTGTTCAACATGTAAGAAGTAAAAGTAAAAAGTCGTCAGAAAAAGAAGTAGTGGAGTAAAGTACTGATACCAGAAAAATGTACTTAAGTACAGTTAACGAGGTATTGTACTCCACTACTTCCCACCTCTGCAGATGATCGTCTTGATTGCCTGCCTGGCGACCTCTCTGAATCACACTGCTGGGCTCTGAATAAGCCGAGCAGTAAAAGTTTAGGACGGGGAAGGGACCTGCTCTGCCTCTGGGTTAAACCTCTGGGATATATCCTCTGCCTGTCTCGCTCCGTTTCCTGTGATATCTGTGAAAACTCTGCTCCGTGCCCTCTGGTTGCGGCCCGATGGACGGTCATGGCTTTAACTCAAATGGAAGATGGAGGAAAGAGGGGGAGAAGGCAGGAGATCAAAGCCATGGAGGGAGAAACCAGGTTACAGGCAGCGTGAGGTGAGAAAGAAAAATGAGACAGAGCAGGTGTTAGATTGATGACACCCTGTCAGGTGAGTCAGGGTCAGGAGGAAAGGTGTGATGACGACCACGGAAGAATGGAGAGGGGATGCCAGAAACGTCCACTGAGACTTTAAAGCAGTTTGCGCATTGAAGTTTGAGAGCTGTTCTTTTCATTAGCTAAAACAGCTGTGGACACAAACATATTGCAGTCTGCGCTTCCACACGTCTTGAGTGATGAAGACTTTACTCACTTCTTCATCCAGTCTGCAATATCCTTCGCTGTGCCTCCGTAGTTCTCAAAGTGGTGAAGGAACTTCCCGTTCCTAAAAGAGCACAAAATGAGGTTTAGTCCAAACCACATGTCAGCAATTGGAAGAATATGGATTGGTCGTTTTGCTGTTTTGAAAGACTTTTAAAAATCCCAGGCAATGTAATAACTGCCATATCATACAACACTACAAATATACTTTAGTTGTATATTTCTGCAACATTTCTACAATTGTATTTGAAGAGAATACCCTACCTAAACATGTCTTCTGGATAATAATAATAATACATTATATTTATATAGCGCCTTTCAAGGGACACAAGGTCGCTGTACATCAGGGGTGTCAAACTCAATTTCATCGCGGGCCACATTGGAATTATGGTTGCACTCAAAGGTCCGGGTTGTAACTTTAAGAGTATATAAATATTTAATATGTATAAAATGAATAATAAACGGATTATTATCGGATAGGGTAATAACTTCGTAATTAACTACGTCTGAAAGCAGAAGTCTACGGCAAATAATTGCAAGTCTCCGGTGAGAATGTCACAAAATTATTTAAAAAGAAAAGCCAAATTCTGGAAAAAAAGTTAAAACAAATAAAATGTTACATTGGGGGAAAAAAGTAAGATTTTGAAAAAAAAACTATGTTTTGGAAAATTCTGAGAAAAAGCCAAATTCTAAGAAAAAACGCATATTTTGAAGAAAAAACATCAAATTTGAGATGCATTGTGGGACATGTAGTTTATGGGCAACGTGCTTCTGTAAATTGGCATGTAACCGTATAATACACATATTATATTCTTTGCAAGCTCTTGTGAGGCCACAGAAAATGAAGTCACGGGCCGGATTTGGCCCCCGGGCCTTGAGTTTGATCCCCCTGCTGTACATGGTGGACAAACAAAACAAACAGACAGTCAAAGGGCAAACAAAAAATAAAGGAAGCCGGGGGACCAAGAAAGGGCTAGGGCCCGAAGGCCAGGGGGAACGGGTGTGTTTTTAATGATGATTTGAAGATGTCCAGGGAGGCAGCATAACGGCAATCTCGGCAGGAAGTGCATTCCAGAGGGTGGGGGCCGCAACACTGAACGCCCTGTCACCAACAGTTCGGAGGCGAGAGCAGGGGATGGAGAGCAGGCCCGTGTCTGAGGACCGCAGACTCCGAGAAGGGGTGTAGGGATGGAGGAGGTCCGATAAGTACTGGGGGGCGAGGGTATGGAGGGACTTGTACGTGAGGAGGAGTGTTTTGTACTGAATGCCGGTGGAGGTGGATGTGGGTGATGTGTTGCCATGGCTTGGCGGCAGAGTTCTGGACGTATTGGAGCCTGTCCAGGGGCTGGGAACCCCGGACAGGACTCCATTGCAGTAGTCCAGACGGGATGTGATGAAGGCGTGTACGAGTGTTTTTGCCACAGAGTCAGAGGGTGTTTCTCAATGTCGAGTAAAGCTGCTCCAGAGCCACTATTTCAAGCATACTACGTCATCGAGTGCCGCCGAAGTGCTGTTCCAATGTCCAGCATACTTGGAATCCTACCGAGCCCGGCGTACTTCGTTTGGAGACATCTCGAGGCTGCACATGAGTAGACTCCGCGGTCTTAAAATCCCCACAATGCTTTGCGCACGGACCAATTTCCCCAAATCTGTGGCGGAAGATGTAAGGCGGGGCCTCTCATATGACGCACACCTGCACACTTGCTCGCCTGTTCCACTCTTTGTTTTCCGAATGCCAGGAAGTATTCTTCTTTTACACTCGGAAGACATGTGCTACCAAGCAAGCGTACTCAACATTGAGAAAACCCAGAGAGTGAAGGCCGGAGTCTGGATATTTTAAACTCTAATAGGTTCATTAGTAGTAAATACTAAAGCTGTATACAATCAAAGAAAAGGCATTATAGTAGAAACCCAACTTTAACAAGGACTGTATGCTCCAAAGTCATTTTCTCCATATGATTAGAAACAAATGACAATTTGGTCAAATATAAATTAAATAAACCACTTTAAAAAGAGTCAGCCCTAGTAAATATACCACGGTGCATTTGGTATCGTAACCTTTAGACTAAATAATTAAAGAGGCCCTATAGATGCTTTTTGGGGTTTTACCTTTCCTTAAGTGTTCTATACGTTTGTGTGCATTTATAGCACATGAGTCAAACTCAAGGCCCGGGGGCCAAATCAGGCCCGTGGTGGATTTAATTTCGGCCCGCAGAATCATTTCTAATTACTATTAGATCTGGCCCTCCGGTATATTGCACGCACACCTTCACTCCATCCTGAGGGTCTCCTCCGCTCAGAGCCTGAGCCCAAACATTGATGACCTTGCTCCCAAGATGAGATGCCAAGTATCTGAGCTAGCATCACAGAGCAGCACACTGAGTTCAATGGATGTTTCCTTCTGCACTTTCTCTCTCAGGACAACAGGGCATGTTTGGTTTTCTCTTTGAGGGGAATAGTTTTGTTGAAGCTGTTGTTGGCCTGTGGAGAAATGTACTCATAAGAAATGACTCTGGAAAAGCTGCAGATAGAGCCGTAAGAAATGAAAGCAACTGATTATTTAATGTTGTTTTTATAGGCAATCATTGAAGCTTTGTTAGTTCCAGGTTTAATATGTGCAATAAGTTCATTTCAATAAGTTCTGCAATAAACATTGAACCAGTCCAGCCCTCGAGTAGTACCCATTTTTTTAATTTTGGCCCACTGTGTGTTTGAGTTTGAAACCCCTGATCGAAATGGTCTGCAAAGGCTAAAATAAAAACACACAACATAACAGCTCAAAGTCTAAATGAAAAGTAGATCTGACGAAAGGAAAATATGATTGATGCCACTTCCTTGTATTTTGAATGTTAGCATAACATTACAGATGCCAGTGACCCCTCGGTATGCATTTAAAGTGAGCTGAAAGCATTTACTCAGCTGCAAATTCGTGAGAAGATAAAAACTGTAAGCATATTTCCTTCATAAGAATGAGTTTATCTACTCTGCTGTTCGCTGCGACTCAGAGCAGGAGGATCAGTGTCAGGAGTAACTGGCTTTCTGCAAACAGTTACAGCTCGGGAGACACAGCGCGGACACTATTAAAGGTGATACACGATTACACACAAACTGGATTTTGAGCTTAAAAATCGCATTTTAAGTGATCCGAATGCCGCGGTGGAGAGAGGAGCTGCTTGGAATTCAATCAGTGAGATTTATGACCAACTCTTTATTCACCTGCTTTATCTCCGCTGCTGTAAATCCACTGAAACCGTGTTAAAAAGTTAAGTCGAGATATGTCGAATTCATGTCATTCTTGGGTAAAGGACACAGGAAAGACAAAGTAGCTCAAATAGTTTCACTTTCATTGTTGCTTTAATTGATAGGAAGTGGAGGGCTGCTGCAGTATTGGCCAGTAAGCTTCCTTAATCTGCAGGGCTGAAAAGGTAAAGGACCTTGAAACCTCGCTCCTGCAGCGGAGAGATAACTCCAGCCGTGTTGATGCCGATTGACCCCGCAGTGATTAGCTGCTGTTTATCAGCCAGGCGCTCATTACTGAAGCCAATGGCCTCGGCTGGTCGTTAGCTAGCCCTGCGCTGACACTAATGCACTGCCTGCTAACGGACTGGCTCCAGACCAGCTACACGTTAGCTAGCCCGCATGTGTGTGTGTGTGTACAGCAACACACAAAGTAAGAAGTGCAGGAAGAGGGCAAATGCACACACACACACACACACACACACACACACACACACACACACACACACACACACACACACACACACACACACACACACACACACACACACACACACACACACACACACACACACACCACACACACACACACACACACACACACACACACACACACACACACACACACACACACACACACACACACACACACACACACACACACACTTAATCAGCCCCGGTCTAATTAAAAGGCCAGACTAGAATGAGAGTGTTTAATGTGGAAATGAGGGTGATAAAGCTGCTGCAGGAGGAATAAGAAGAACCGCTATGAAGCACAATGTGAACAGCAGTAAATATGAGGATAGTAATGCTGTGGCTGGGGGGGTTTCTTGCATTAACAAACACCATCAGCCTCAGCTCCTACTTTGCAAGTGGCTTCAATGTTATAGTAGTAAAGCGAAATGAGTAGATTAACCAACAGCATTTCAAACACTAAAGGAGAAACGCTGAAGCCCAAACGCTAAATCGATACCTTTAAAGTGTTCTTTGAGATGAAAAAAACATTGGCACGGTATTTTAAAGCCTTTACTTAGTCTGGCGTATTAATTATTTAAAACACTGGTTCATTTTGAGTGTTTGGGCAGACAACAGCTCTGTGTGGAAGAATGCAGCCCCACTGAGTTTCCAATGGGCAGCTGCGATGGCTCAGTGTGGCTCCTGAAGAAAAGGCTCTGCCAGAAAATATGGGGTTGTGAAGTGCAAGACCGCTTAGAGATGTCCCGCCCCTTTAGCCTATCACGTACAATGTGTTGGAGCGCTAGCCAATAGGAGCATGAGTGTTACCGCTACACAAAACGTACTTCTTAATCCATTATTTTGGAGCATACTCAGGGTATATGCAGGAATCCTGAAGTCAAACGTAAAACCTTTTAAGACCTTTTTTAAGACCCTTTCCATACATTTTAAGACCTCATCGCCACTTTGAGTTCTAACCGGTTACATTGGCGACACACCTCTTTGGACAATTTATATACTTATTGAAAACAAGCTACAAAATGTTATACCTTGGGAAATGCCCTTTAATACTTTTTAATAGCCATCATTTTCGCTAAATGGATTTATTAACTTTTAATACTTTTTAAAACCCCGCGGACACCCTGATACAGCCTCGTTAAAGTCAGTTTCCTACTATAATGCCTTTTCTTTGATTGACTACAGCTTTAGTATTTACTACAACTGTACTTCAGCGAGTTTATAATATCCAGAAGACAGGTTTAGGTAGGGTATTCCCTTTAAATAAAACACATGTTGTAGAAATATAACCAGTTAAGTAAGGTTTAAGAAAAAAAATGGTTTTGTATTATGACAGTTATTATATTGGCTGTTACATAGTGAAGTCACTTTGTTCAGGAAGTGATCAAAGGAGTCCAATGGTGACTTTTCAGGCAGGGGTTGGGCGTGTGTGGGAGAGAAATACAGGGATTTGAGCCTTTGCAGACCATTTACATGCACTAAAACCTATATAAACACACCAAAGGATAGGGAACACCACAAAAAGCACAATTATGAATTGGTGAGCATGAAGGAAGGGGTGAGTAGCCATTTTGTTTGATAAATGGCTTCAACCATGATGAACCATTTTGAACAATCAAAATGGTTACCGATAATTTTCTTTCTCCATTAACTTCAGCTCTACTTCATATCCAAGAATACAGCACCTCGTGAGTGAACTCCATGCCAGTGTGAGAAAAAGTTTTTAGAGAGATTTTACTGCATCACACATAGGGTTGGGTATCGTTTGGATTTTAACGATTCCGGTTCTGCTTTTCGATTCCGGTTATTTTCGGTTCTCGATTCCGGTTCTTTGAGAGGGTAAAAATAAGTCAAACTGGGAGAAAAATATATTTATGAAAACATTAAGTCAAATCTGTATTCCTATTTACAAATCACTTCATACTGTTTAATTTCTTACGGTTATTGAATACAATTATATAAAAATTATCTCTGCATTGTTTAGTTAGTTCTAAGTGGTGCAGTTTCAGAATGTGCAATTGGCCCAGTCTCCTCTGATGTTACACTGCAACCTGCCTGTGAGACAAAGTCCAACCACACATGTCCAACACATACGTGTAGGACATAACCTAATAATAATAATAATACATTATATTTATAGCCTATAGGCCTAGCGCTTTTCTACAACTCAAAGACGCTTGCACGCTTACACATGTCCTGCAATACACATGCTGCAGCTGCCCAGCTGCTCACTGTTTGTAAAAGTAAATAAATAGTATTTTCATTTCAATAATGTACTTTCTATACCCTGCTTCATAAACAATACTGACATCCCTGTGCTCCTCCGAGTCTGGGGTCCGGGGATGTGAGGACAGCGCGAGGACACAGACAGGGAGGCTGCTTTACTTCATAAAGGACATGGTGGTCAATATTAACAACACAGGAGCTAAAACGCTTAATAACCTTCATTACGTGTTAGAGAAAGAACATAAGAAAGTTTGACAAAGATGAGGCTGTTAAACGGGCAGCAGAGCCGCTGTGTGTAGAAAGAGAGAGAGACGCTGAGCTGCACCTTGCAGCGATCAGCTGATACGGAGCATAGAGAGAGAGAGCTGCGGTCCGCGGGCTCGGCCTCGCCTCCTGTCCTCACAACTCTTATTAATCCCGGGACCGGACAATTGTTATTTGTTCCCACTGTGCTACACTTCCCGCCCCGCCCCGCCCCCGTCTACTGTACAGAAAGCGTCGAGATGCATTTCCTTATGAATCGACAAGCAGAACCGAAACTAACATTTCTAAACGAACAATGGAGGACACGTACAGTTTGCGAATGAGTTCTGCCTTTTGTAAACTGAATGTATCAATAATTTGTCAATAAACGTCACTTGTCTGCCGGACAAGTCAATTGACAGATCTACTTGTCCGATATTGTAAATAACACGTCCCGGACGGTGGGACGTGTACTTTTTCGCACACTGCATGCTCCTCGACAATAGCACTCACATCCTTGACTTCCTCATGTGAAATTACTTTGTCCAATATACTGAGAAACTTTTTCCTTCACACCTGTTAAAGCAATTTTCTGAACCTCCCTGGCAAATTGTACGTTTGACACCCCCCTGTCTGCCGGTGTTTGAGCTCTGGGCTGGCCTTTCTGTTTGAAGTGTCCCAGATGTTCTGAGCCTTGGAAGTGAGGCTGAGCCCTAAGTGAGACGGATGAGAGGACTCCAACTCACTCAAAGTAGCAGAAAGTCGGGTAGCCTTTGACGTTGTACTCCTGCTTCAGGCCGTCAAACTCGGCCGGGTGAACGTTCATCCCCGCCAGCACCTGGAGGAAAAACAACGTCAAGGGGGAAATAAGGAGTTTGCTGTCAGAGAGGTGGAGAAAGCAGAGACACAAGAAACAGAAAGGACATGAAAACAGGTCAGAGGACTCCGTAATGAAAGTATGATTACTCCATGATTGAAAAGAGACTTCACTGGGAAAGGACATACATAGGTCATAGGTCAAATGAATGTTGATTAGCGAACTGTAATCACATTTAACTTGATTAAATAAATAAATAAATAAGTCCCCTATTGTGGACGTGATTAATGTACAAAATATATTTATAGGCAAGAACTACCTTTAATTGGTTGCAGCAAACTTACCATTTTAATTAAAGGTCCCATGTCATGCTTTTCTGGTTGTTACCCGTCCCCTTGTGTTATGTAGCTTTGTCTGCATGTAAACGGTCTGCAGAGTCACAAACCCTCAAAGTGCACCCTGTAGCGAGTAAAACTCTAACACAGAAAATACCTGTCTGTGCTGCCCCAGAACGCCTCGTTGTTTCTCTTTTTCCATTGTTTACTTCTTGGGTTTAGTGACGTATTTCGGGTATAGTGACGTATTTCGGGTATAGTGACGTAACGGCTCCTGGATTGGTCCAAATTGACCAATCCAGGAGCCGTTTAGGACAGAGAGTGAATACACACACTATACAGAGATGCTGTCAGAAACCAATGTGAGTTTGGAACATTGAACAATGTAAATCTATTCTAGTAGACCTCAACAATGGAATTATGATCAGTAGAAATGGCCATGACATGTGACCTTTACGTGTTTTTTTAAACAGTTTTATTTATTTTTTGTTTCCCATGTTTTTCACATTAAGATGCGTATAACATCATCAGACCCAAAACACCCTCCCCATTGGGAGTGCTCTACATTTTTAGATTAATGTAAAGATATCTTTTTTGATTTTAAACTTGTGGGACAAAGACTTTTTGTTTGTCCTTGGGGTTGTGCATCGGGAACGGTAATTTGACTAAGCTGCTCAACATTGACAGATTTTGTTTGAAAGGTCATCATATAGCCTTGACCTCATACTTGCCAACCCTCCCGATTTTCGCCAGAGACTCCCGATTTCATTGCCCTCTCCCTGTTTCCTCCCAGGGTCATATTTCTCCCGCATTTCTGACAAAATCAGATTTACTCACGACAGTTTCCACTCGGACTTTAATACAGCTACAACATTGTTTGGTTGCCATGGTAGCGCGTCTCTTTAGCAGCGTGCGCAACTGAAAGTCTGAGAGGGTGTTCAGCATGGTGAGGAAGATAGTCACAGAACAAGAATGGACAACTCGACCCTCTGCTCACTCCTTTCCTGTAAATACAGGTCCAGCCCACACATACGCTCCATCAGTGCTACAGGCAGCAAGGCAGTGCACTTACAACTACAATACACATGTGTAGATGTTCTTGTCATCTTTAAAAGTCAGTTTCCCCGGGGGGTGATACACGTGGGAGAGGAGTTCAAACAGCTCCGGCGATCAACTAGCACCGCCCCCTCCCATTTTTAAATGCTCACGATTTCTGAGGTCTCAAGTGTGGCAAGTATGCTCGACCTTCAGCTGGGTGGAATGCTAATGTTAGCAGGATATTGTTAGTGTATTTTAATGCTAATGTAAGCATCTTACTATGCTTATAGTTTGCTAACATTCAGTATGTAATGATGTTTACTCACATTAACTTGCTAGTGTGTGCAGTTAGTAATACAACAATATCTCCATGACGCTGTTTCAGTCTATCCAGGGAGTCAGACGAAATCAAATGTGAATGTTTACCTTTTAATCTTTAGCGTGTTATAATGTGTACATATACAACCTCTGCCTTTGTGTCAATGTGTGTCAACTGTTTAGCATCCCAATAGTTTATATGTATGGTATTTAAAATAAATCAAACACCTGACATTTCCCAGGTTTCTTCAGAGGTAATGTGGTGTTTAAAGAAGAGCCAAAAACTGATTTCAAAATGTCTTTGTCCTCTTGAGTCTTTTCAGATACATCTACCTGACTGCACACAACACTTCAGACATTGACCGTACGTCTTCCTGTCTCTATGACACAGAGGTGAGTAATGTGTACAACTCTGCTGAGCACTAACTCAGTATTCAAACCTGTCACTTCTCCGTAGTCTCTTGTAATAACTGGCACGCCTCCAATAATCCATCTCAGCCTGGCAAACAAACCCCTTTGTGTTCTGAGCAGGGAACTTGTATGCATACTGTTAATTTCCAGTTAAGAGGCTTACATTTCACAAGCTAAAATGCTCCATAATCAGACAAACATGCAGGCGAGCACTACTTCACGCTCCCCTCAGGCAGCTGCTCTCTTATTGTCAGACACCCTCAGATCCCTCTTCTTCATGGTGCTTCAAGTGTTTGTGAACACAAAGCATTTGTTTCCCTAGCTGATCACATATGCCTCTGGTTGTTTTTGTGCTGGCATCTCTCCAGTGCTCTTAAAAAAACGTTACCACAGCTGGAAACAGAGCACCCTTTCCCCCCCATGTTTAGTTGCGGTTGTAATACGGCTTGTCTGCAAACTGACAACACGGGTCTTTAGGGGACCCTCGAGACCAGGGAGGAGAAGAAAACATGATAAATACAGGAGGGAGGAGGAAGCAACACTAAGACTGGATGGACTAAACTGATATTCAATATATTTAGGTGGTGGTCTTTATCTAGAACCACATTAGCCCTGTATTGTGGATGCGTTGCCAGGTAAAACATAAATGAATTCCATGATTTAAAACCTGCAAAATGATATCAACTACTCAAATTATTTAAAACAGATTGAGATGCAAGGTTGGAAGACTTTTGAAGGAACATCTGTGATGGTTCTGGTTTGTCAAAATATACAGTTTAAATGAAGTCCAGCAGAGAGGGGTGTCAGGGTTTCTGTTGGGGAAATACTGAATGTTCTCTTCCAGTATGAGAGTAACATGATAACAAAGGTATCCCAACTGTAGCTGTGAACATGACAGGATGTGTGATTACCTAGAAGAGCATCAGGACTGTTTGAGGCATATGATAGCTATGTGATTAACATGATGATTCAGCCTCTATGGAGATAGACATATGACAAGCATGCTCATTTCTGACGTGGAGCTAATCTGAAGTAAACATTGCATTTTTAGGTTTTGAGAAAAAAGTCAGATTTTTGAGAACAATTTCAGATTTTTTATATTTTGAGAAAAAGTCAACATTTTGAGAAAAAGTCAACATTTTGAGAAAAAGTCAACATTTTGAGATTTTGAGAGAAAGTCAGAATTTTTTGATTTTGAGAGAAAGTCCGAATTTTTTGAAAAAGTCAGAATTTTTTGAAAAAGTCAGAATTTTGAGAGAAAGTCAGAATTTTGAGAGAAATTCAGAATTTTGAGAGAAAGTCAGAATTTTGAGAGAAAGTCAGAATTTTGAGAGAAAGTCAGAATTTTGAGAGAAAGTCAGAATTTTGAGAGAAAGTCAGAATTTTTAGAGAAAGTCAGAATTTTGAGAGAAAGTCAGAATTTTGAGAGAAAGTCAGAATTTTTAGAGAAAGTCAGAATTTTTAGAGAAAGTCAGAATTTTGAAATTTTGAGAAAAAACTATTTTGTACATGACAGGATGTTTGATCACCTAAGAACCGGTATTCCTCCATCTTGTGACTGTGTAACTCCCTCTCTTGGATATCAGCATGTGAAGGACACTGTTCAGGAACTAGTTGATGCTCTGTATGTGAGGACTACTTCCATTCTGGAGAGGATCACAAACACATGGATCCTGAGATTGAAGCTGAAGGGTAGTGTACTGGTGGTCATTTTAGCAGGAAGTACAACAAGGGAAGGCTTTGATTCAGGCCAGTCTGACAGATTGCTCTCCTGCCAAACTTAACAATCCAGACATCCACTGCTGACACATCTCATCTAATCAGCTCAGATCACAGATCAGTTATTGCAGTGAAACAAGTGAGCAGACTTACATATGTCCCCTTGGTCTCTGTGGCTGCTTGCTGAAAGACGGGCTGCATCCTTTTACAAACCCCGCACCCTGTAACAAAGATAGAAATCACGAACAGAAGTTATGACAGAGAACTCGATGGGAACCAGCGCGCTGACAGCATCGATGCAACTGTCAACAAAATGTCCATAATCTGACAGAGGGGATGTTTTTTTTTGTCAATAGCAGCTTGCGTTGTGTCATCGGCAGTGAAAGAGGTGATGCACTGACAACACACTTTATTACATGGCTTAGTTGAATACTCGATTCTGATTGGTCAATTCAGAACATGTGACACGTTGTTAATCCAGTACAGACAGACCGCTGTCAAGGACTTATTGACCGTTGTTAAGGACGCTCACATCTGCAGAAAGAAGTCCGGTCGATTGAACTGTTCGACCTGGGACAAGAAAAACAGCGCAGAAGTAACGGGGCAGAAACCCTCGTTTTTACGCAGCGGTCCAGACATAGACATCAAAACATATTCAGTTGCCAGTTGCTTTGGCATTAGGGCAGGGATATCGAGGGTTGACATCATGAACTGTGCTACTTTTAAAGCAAGCAACGATGTTTTCAAATCTGTAATCAAAAAGCTCCTCAAAAACGCTATCGAAGCAGATCCTGACGTCGCTACGTTAGTTCAAACGGTAACAACGGACTATTTTTCTTAGCGGATCAAGAAAGAGAAAGGAAATGAGGTTAAAAGGCGGAGTGCTGGACGTCAGATAAATCACCAGAAGAAGGCAGAGGAAGTAAACACCAACAGGAACAGAACACGGTATGAGCTCAGCATAATGACCGCCTCGCTGCACATTATCCCTTACTTAATAACCGAGCACGACACATGGGAAACTGCATAATACTGTTTTACTAACCATCAGGTGACAAGACAATTAACTCTACACTGACGTAACACCATTTTGTTTCATCATTTGTAATTGTTTCATTCATTCACCTGAGAGAAAACACTGAACATTGACACTTAATGACTTTATATTCAATGTTTTGAACCAGGAGACTTATTGGGATTATAGAAAACATTTCAATATCATTTCTATGGGGAAAAGCATCTATTTTTCAAAGGGAAACCTGACAAGTTACAGAAGAACAAAAATCAAGTAAGTGGACCTCATATTTAAGTTTCATTCATATGAAAATATTGGTATCTTAATTTAAAAGCATAAACAAGTCCTGAGGAAGCAGAGAATATAGTCTGGACATTTTCTCCCATAAAATAAAAAAACAAAGTTCTTACATTTTAAAAGGTCCCCTATTTTACTGTTTGTCATCAATGTATCACAGGTCTCAGATATATCCAGAACCTGTCTCTGATTGGCTGAAACACCAAACTGATCATTGCAGCATTACCCATAATCCCCTCTGTTTCAGCCCTGTTTCCAAAGTACTGATTCTCTGTCTGTTACTTCAGATGAAAATAAGGAGCCCCTCCCCACGCCCCTCTGAGAGACATTTGGTTAAAAATAACACAATAGGCGCGTTCACACCGGAGTACTTTTCCCAGGACTTAGTTCATGAGAACTCTTTAGTTCTCATGAACTAAAGAGTTCTCATGAACTAAGTACAGTACCGCTGACGTCACTTATTCTTCTTCTGCTTTGGGTTTACTGGCAGGCTGCAAACAACTTCACGGCGTATACTGCCACCCGGAGTCCCCGGCCGGAAGTCCCCGGAGTTGGGGACTGGCTTCAGTAGAAGCTGCTGGGAGTCCCAGCAGCTTCTACTGAAGCCTTCCGAGTAAATCGCCAGAACGCCGACACCTCCTCATCTCCACCGCTCCCATGTTTTATTTTGTGTTGCCATTCGTTAGTCTCTCTGCGTTTCTGCGCTGGGCTAATGATAATGCTAATAATGCTAATGCGAGGATAATAAAATGGCGGCTTCACAAAACTTTTTCAGAGTTTTACGGGGCGTGGTTTGCAATCCGCCCAGCCAATCAGACATAGGGACCTTTTTCTCCCACGAAAGAACCTGCTCTCTAGCAGGGACTGAAAAGGGGGTGGAAAGGTTCTCATGAACTAATTTTAGTTCTGGCTCTTTTTGGTGTGAACGCGACATTTCGGAACTAAAGTGGGAAAAGTACTGCGGTGTGAACGCGGCTAATGGTGCTCTAGGAGGAGATTCAGGTGATAAGGTGTGGGGGGAGGGTTCCTTGGTTGCTGATTGGCTAATGGGTACACAAGCCAAAAACATCGTTATGACATCATAAAGTGGCCAAAATCTGATCAGCTCATTTTCAGACAGGTTTTTATAGAAATGGATCAAAAAGAGAGAGAATCTATGTTCCTGAAACGTTCAGAGTCTCTTTCCACAGAGGGGACACATGTTGATGTAGAAGAGACATGGAGAAGAGGGGACACATGTTGATGTAGAAGAGACATGAAGAAGAGGGGACACATGTTGATGTAGAAGAGACATGAAGAAGAGGGGACACATGGTGATGTAGAAGAGACATGAAGAAGAGGGGACACATGTTGATGTAGAAGAGACATGGAGAAGAGGGGACACATGTTGATGTAGAAGAGACATGGAGAAGAGGGGACACATGTTGATGTAGAAGAGACATGAAGAAGAGGGGACACATGTTGATTGTAGAAGAGACATGAAGAAGAGGGGACACATGTTGATGTAGAAGAGACATGAAGAAGAGGGGACACATGTTGATGTAGAAGAGACATGAGAAGAGGGGACACATGTTGATGTAGAAGAGACATGAAGAAGAGGGGACACATGTTGATGTAGAAGAGACATGAAGAAGAGGGACACATGTTGATGTAGAAGAGACATGGAGAAGAGGGGACACATGTTGATGTAGAAGAGACATGAAGAAGAGGGGACACATGTTGATGTAGAAGAGACATAAGAAGAGGGGACACATGTTGATGTAGAAGAGACATGAAGAAGAGGGGACACATGTTGATGTAGAAGAGACATGAGAAGAGGGGACACATGTTGATGTAGAAGAGACATGAGAGGGGACACATGTTGATGTAGAAGAGACATAAGAAAGAGGACGGGACACATGTTGATGTAGAAGAGACATGAGGAAGAGGGGACACATGTTGATGTAGAAGAGACATGAAGAAGAGGGGACACATGTTGATGTAGAAGAGACATGAAGAAGAGGGGACACATGTTTGATGTAGAAGAGACATGAAGAAGAGGGGGACACATGTTGATGTAGAAGAGACATAAAGACAGATGGGGACACATGTTGATGTAGAAGAGACATGAAGAAGAGGGGACACATGTTGATGTAGAAGAGACATGAAGAAGAGGGGACACATGTTGATGTAGAAGAGACATGAAGAAGAGGGGGACACATGTTGATGTAGAAGAGACATGAAGAAGAGGGGACACATGTTGATGTAGAAGAGACATAAAGAAGAGGGGACACATGTTGATGTAGAAGAGACATGAAGAAGAGGGGACACATGTTGATGTAGAAGAGACATGAAGAAGAGGGGACACATGTTGATGTAGAAGAGACATGAAGAAGAGGGGACACATGTTGATGTAGAAGAGACATGAAGAAGAGGGGACACATGTTGATGTAGAAGAGACATGAAGAAGAGGGGACACATGGTGATTTATGTAAAGTGGATTTTGCATAATAGGTGACCTTTAATATTAACGTAATACATACTATAATAATAATACATTACATTTATAAAGCGCTTTTCCCGGTGCTCAAAGCGCTTACAAGCAAGTAAAACAAAATAGGAAATATATGCTCTCTCCATATCTGATATGTTTTTCATCGTTCTGCACGATAACAGCTCTTGTCTTTTGATCACAACATGTTCTGCACAGTAAAGAGAGCAGCACTTGATAATAGAGGACTCACAGGGAGCGTAGAACATCATGAGGACCGGCCTCTCCTCTCTCTTCAGCAGCTTCCTGAAGTCCTTCAGAGGAAGGAGAGAGGGAACATGATTAACACGCCTTATCATCTATTAATGAAAGATATGTAAAGTAAGGGCTGGGGGATAATTAGATATGATAATGCATCGGGGCTGCGAGGAAAACGTTAAACATTGTCTAAATTAAAGATAACAAGCACATGCCATATCACATTTCGCAGAAGATATGATCACCTTAATCACACAATGGTTTTAATCTGATTATACCTGTAAAACATTCAATTGAAAAAGTGTTTTGCATTTAAGTTATTTTCATTTGTCGGATGCTTAATACACACAGGACTTTATAAAAATAGGTTTTAAGACTCGGTTGTTTCATATACACTTGGTATTGAATGGACACATGCTATATCAGATATATATATTGTGATACTGAGTATATATCACAATAGATATATCACTTCTGGGATACTGACAGCATCCAATATAGAGATGGACAATTTCACAAATATCCCAGAAGTGTCATGATGATGGGTTTGTGTTGAATGACTCCAGTTTGATTTTGAAATGTATTTTCCTCCTTGTGTCTTGTCTGGGTTCTCTTGTGTTTTCCCTCGTGAGCCTGATTGTCTGGGTATGTTTCACCTGCCCTCTCCAGCTGTGTCTTGTCTCTGTGATTAGTCTTGTGTGTATTTAGGTCCGTCTTCCCTTATGTTCTTGGTGCGATCGTTCCTGTCAGCATTTCTGCTCCTGCTCCTTGTCCCCTATAGGGCTGCTCGATTATGGCAACAATCATAATTATTTGGGTCAATAATTGATATCACGATTATTAAAAACGATTATCCATTTACTTTGAAAACATCCATATATTGAAAATAAAAATTGAACAGTATGTTTTTAACAGTTGATTACCCTGAACTTTAAGTCTAACTCAACTGAAAAACAAAAACAAAAAAACAAAATTAATTAAAACAAAATTAATTAAAATAAATAAATAATCGTTTTATTTCGATGTTGTTTGTTTTGATAATCGTTGCAAGCCAAAATCGTAATTGCGATTAAAATACGATTAATTGAGCAGCCGTAGTCCCCTGGTTAGTACTTCTGTTTTTTACGTGAGCTAGTCTGGACCCCCTTTTTGTATAAACTCCTACATACGCCTCCTCTGTCTTCGTACTGAATGTAGGTCCTGCAGCCTTACCCTCAACGTAACAAGAAGCCTTTGTACAGTAAATCAAATGACTAACTTTGTCCAAGAAAATTCAAGATGTCTTTAAGTATCTCTCCGTTTAGATGGAGCTCTAAAACAACTAAGCACACCATCATCTTCCAGCTTTTTCAGCAAATTAATAGACTGTATTTTCCACATCAGCAGACACATTAGTTATTCTGACAGCAGGTGGACCCCCCCCGACAATTCCTCCTGCTCCTCTTCACCTCCATGAGTGTGGATACTTCCTAATAACTCACATTCAGCACAATCTTCTGTGGATACCTTCAACAAGCCTCAGGGCAGGAGAGGGCGAGGGGGTGGAAACCAACAGAACTGCTGTTCGTTGAGTCACAGGGTTTTCAAAATGCTGTATATATCTGTGAGTGTGTCAGGTTGTCAGGGGAATGTCCCGGGGGGGGGTTAAGACGAGTGCCATCTGACCTAACTGGACGAGAGCTGTCTAGAAAGGCTTTTTGGTAAACTTCATGAACCACGCTGAGCTGCTCTTTGATGATAAAGCCCTGATATTGTACTTTCCTGTGTGGGTGTTTTGTTGCAGAGGTGGACATGCTGCTGAGTCAGCTTTAGAGGCAGATCAAACCCTCAGCAGGACAGGAGAGCTGGATCCTGCATCACATTACCTGCTTCCTCTGTCTTATTATCACAGTTACTGTCCATCAACATTAAAGAGTTCTCTCCTGCTGATGTTCAGGTGTATATCAGTATGTAGTGTCTCTACTTTAAAGAGTCCTCTCCTGCTGATGTTCAGGTGTATATCAGTATGTAGTGTCTCTACTTTAAAGAGTCCTCTCCTGCTGATGTTCAGGTGTATATCAGTATGTAGTGTCTCTACTTTAAAGAGTCCTCTCCTGCTGATGTTCAGGTGTATATCAGTATGTAGTGTCTCTACTTTAAAGAGTCCTCTCCTGCTGATGTTCAGGTGTATATCAGTATGTAGTGTCTCTACTTTAAAGAGTCCTCTCCTGCTGATATTCAGGTGTATATCAGTATGTAGTGTCTCTACTTTAAAGAGTCCTCTCCTGCTGATGTTCAGGTGTATATCAGTATGTAGTGTCTCTACTTTAAAGAGTCCTCTCCTGCTGATGTTCAGGTGTATATCAGTATGTAGTGTCTCTACTTTAAAGAGTCCTCTCCTGCTGATGTTCAGGTGTATATCAGTATGTAGTGTCTCTACTTTAAAGAGTCCTCTCCTGCTGATGTTCAGGTGTATATCAGTATGTAGTGTCTCTACTTTAAAGAGTCCTCTCCTGCTGATGTTCAGGTGTATATCAGGATGTAGTGTCTCTACTTTAAAGTGTCCTCTCCTGCTGATGTTCAGGTGTATATCAGTATGTAGTGTCTCTACTTTAAAGAGTCCTCTCCTGCTGATGTTCATGTGTATATCAGTATGTAGTGTCTCTACTTTAAAGAGTCCTCTCCTGCTGATGTTCAGGTGTATATCAGTATGTAGTGTCTCTACTTTAAAGAGTCCTCTCCTGCTGATGTTCAGGTGTATATCAGTATGTAGTGTCTCTACTTTAAAGAGTCCTCTCCTGCTGATGTTCAGGTGTATATCAGTATGTAGTGTCTCTACTTTAAAGAGTTCTCTCCTGCTGATGTTCAGGTGTATATCAGTATGTAGAGTCTCTACTTTAAAGAGTTCTCTCCTGCTGATGTTCAGGTGTATATCAGTATGTAGAGTCTCTACTTTAAAGAGTCCTCCTGCTGATGTTCAGGTGTATATCAGTATGTAGTGTCTCTACTTTAAAGAGTCCTCTCCTGCTGATGCTCAGGTGTATATCAGTATGTAGTGTCTCTACTTTAAAGAGTCCTCTCCTGCTGATGTTCAGGTGTATATCAGTATGTAGTGTCTCTACTTTAAAGAGTCCTCTCCTGCTGATGTTCAGGTGTATATCAGTATGTAGAGTCTCTACTTTAAAGAGTCCTCCTGCTGATGTTCAGGTGTATATCAGTATGTAGTGTCTCTACTTTAAAGAGTCCTCTCCTGCTGATGCTCAGGTGTATATCAGTATGGAGTGTCTCTACTTTAAAGAGTCCTCTCCTGCTGATGTTCAGGTGTATATCAGTATGTAGTGTCTCTACTTTAAAGAGTCCTCTCCTGCTGATGTTCAGGTGTATATCAGTATGTAGTGTCTCTACTTTAAAGAGTCCTCCTGCTGATGTTCAGGTGTATATCAGTATGTAGTGTCTCTACTTTAAAGAGTCCTCCTGCTGATGTTCAGGTGTATATCAGTATGTAGTGTCTCTACTTTAAAGAGTCCTCTCCTGCTGATGTTCAGGTGTATATCAGTATGTAGTGTCTCTACTTTAAAGAGTCCTCTCCTGCTGATGTTCAGGTGTATATCAGTATGTAGTGTCTCTACTTTAAAGAGTCCTCTCCTGCTGATGTTCAGGTGTATATCAGTATGTAGTGTCTCTACTTTAAAGAGTCCTCTCCTGCTGATGTTCAGGTGTATATCAGTATGTAGTGTCTCTACTTTAAAGAGTCCTCTCCTGCTGATGTTCAGGTGTATATCAGTATGTAGTGTCTCTACTTTAAAGAGTCCTCTCCTGCTGATGTTCAGGTGTATATCAGTATGTAGTGTCTCTACTTTAAAGAGTCCTCTCCTGCTGATGTTCAGGTGTATATCAGTATGTAGTGTCTCTCCATGTCTCCATGCTTTAATGTTCAAAAAGCTCTTTATTTCTCTCATACTGCCTGTGCTGCAGCACCTCTTTTCACCCTCTGTCTGAAACCAGAGCCCAGTCTGCTCTGATTGGTTAGCTGGCCGGCTCTGTTGTGATCGGTCAACCACTTAGAGATGTCCCGCCCCTTCAGGTACAATGTGTTGCAGCGCTAGCCAATAGGAGCGCAAGTATTATAGTGTTGTCATTATGTTATGGAAGAAAAACAAAAGTGTTGTTGAGGAAACTACTTACTTTTTCTGTCTCTACATGGACAATGTCTTTCGCTTCAGGGTTCTCCTCCCACAGCGGGGGTCCCGATGGGTCTTTTAAGAACGCCACCATGGACTGAATGGAGACAAAAGAAGATGAACAAGTCAGAATGATGAACAAAGGCAACATGCATGCAACAACTGGCATAAGAATAATCTCCTGAACAGAATGACTACTGATAGGGCTGCACAATTAATTTAAATGTTATCTAAATAGTGCAACATCCAATCAAAGGAAGCACAATATTTGTTAAATAATAATAATACATTTTATTTATAAAAGGGCGAGTTTCAAGGTCGCCGTACAAGGTACACAAAACACAAAAGAAACCGGACAAAAACAAGATAATATAATCAATAAAAACAGAGGACGTGTGATGTGATCAGAGTGGATGCCAGTGTGATGAGATATATAAAATATGTTAAATTAACACACTTAATAAAACCTATTAGTTGTTCAAAACCCCCCCAAAAATGATCAATCCCTCCTCTATTGTGATTGTAATATCTGATCACAATTTGTTTTGTCTTTTTTCAAATGGTGCAGCCGCACTGCTGATGATTTACCGGAGCATTGCAGAAGAAACTCTTGAGCGTATTGGAGGCTGTAGGCAGCGGCAGATGGAAACTCGTACAGACCAACATGTGCGTCGATCCAGGAGGTGTCGGAGATATCTCACTACCTGCAAGTGTCTGGTAATGGGCTTAGTAAAGCTCTGAGTAAATATAATGCACCATATGTCTGTGCAGGCGACAGCAGGAAGTATTTCATTCAGCAGCGCTACAACATTGACAATGTGGACACGGGTGGAATATTAAAGGATTATGAAGATATCATCAGCAAAATATATTTGGGGGGGTTTTAAAAGTGTATCTTACCTTTTTTCACCTAGTTAACTTTTTATTTATTTATTGATGCATATTTTACTAATCATATTACATTTCATTTAGCTGACGCTTTTATCCAAAGCGACTTATAATGACCGATTACAGGGACATTCTCCCTGGAGTAACTAAGGGCTAAGGGCCTTACTCAAGGGAACACTAGTGGTGGTGTTCCTGGCGGGATTTGAACTCACAGCCTTCCGATCTTCAGCCCACCTCACTATCCATTAGACCAGTGTTTCTCAAACTTTTCCATACCAAGGACCACTTAACCAATAAAAAAACACTCGCGGACCACCTAACTCCACAAATATCCAAAAACACATCGTTTTTTACAAATCGCCTGAAAATGGTACAAACAAGTGGCAACATGTGGGATGAAGGTGTTTATCTGGGCTATATCATGCAATCGAAAGTGAAACTTAAGCTCGCTCCATTGTGGAGATATTCCCGCGAGAGTGCGGAAAACTTAAATGTATTTATTTATTTCAAATGTGAAATGTTACCAATATACTCACGGACCACTAGGGGGCGCTCACGGACCACCAGTGGTCCGCGGACCACACTTTGAGAAGCACTGCATTAGACCATTCACTACCCTCTCAAATGGAAATATGTGTTTACATAAATGGTGACCACACCGTTTGAGACCCACTGAGAACTTAGATCAGCGTTTCTCAAAGTGTGGGGCGCGCCCCACTGGTGGGGCGCAGAGTTGTGATAGGTGGGTCGCGAAATAAAAAAGACATTTATTTAAAAAACTTTTTATTTTTTTATTTAAAAAAAACATTGTTCCCACACTGGTGGAATATCAAAACAGCGGCCCGGGGTGCAAAACGCATCAATGAAAGCGACCCTCTACCACACAAAACAACACCTGTAAATAATCCAATTTGTGTTCTTTGAAATTGAAAAGGATATTGTATTGTGTTTGTTACTTGCGTTGCAGTTGTATGTCTTAAGTGTAATTTGGCATGCTTTTATTTAGAAGGCGAGTTTACGCTGTTGACAGTTGTTGTTGCTATGGAAACAAGAAACGTTTCACAGCGGGCGGAACTTGTCATAAAGTCCGCGGTAATAAAGCCCACCCATTTAGAGGGAAGATATGATTGGTCAATTGTACTGTCATTTGACATTACTCTCTCGTTCAGTTACTATAGCGGGCCCTCTGTGAATTCATAGCTGGACGTCCAATCAGCTCCTGTCTTCACCTCGCAGAGACGAGCTTCTTTCATTTAACCCTTCACATTCAAACAGAAACTGAATAGGCAGATTCAAAGGATTTATTTCTTTGGAAATGTTATTTTAAATACAATGAAATCAAGTTATTATTGGTAAAACTAATGACAAATATTACTAAAAACATATTTAAAAAAAATATATAAAGAAAAATATAATTTGTTTTAATGTTTTTAAATATTTTTTGTAGAATATCTTAGGGAGACAGAGACAGGCTCGCCACTGGTAAAAATCTCTCATACACACATGTGAAACGCTCTCAGACACACACAACAGCGTTGCAGTCGGGAAGAAAAGCAATGTGGAGAGAGAGAGAGCGAGAGAGCACGAGAGCAAGAGAGCAAGAGAGCGAGAGAGCAAGAGAGCAAGAGAGCAAGAGAGCAAGAGAGCAACAGAGCAAGAGAGCGAGAGAGCAAGAGAGAGAGAGAGAGAGAGAGAGAGAGAGCGAGAGAGCAAGAGAGAGCACACCTTTATCTGTTTAATAAAGTTGTCAAAAATAAAGTAAGAAATCATTCCAATGTGTACTATAGAACAGTAAAAAGTTTAAAAGGGGAGGGATTAGTCAAATATGCATAAATAAAAAGAAAGAATGCTAACTAGGTAACATAAGATAAGAATAAACAAGTTTAAATGATTTGTTGTTGGTTGTGATCATATTCTAAATATGTTTGGATTATTGAAAAGTATACAGCTCCCTTTCATCTGAGTGTTGAGAGCTGTATCCATAAATTCATGATGTGCTCAAAGGAGGGCTGCTCGATTATGGCAAAAATCATAATCTCGATTATTTGGGTCAATAATTGATATCACGATTATTAAAAACGATTAACCATTTACTTTGAAAAACATCAATTTATTGAAGAAAATAATTTGAAAAGTATGTTTTTAACAGTTGATTACCCTGAACTTTAAGTATAATTCAACTGAAAAACCTATTTCAAAAAAAAAATAAAATCGTTTTATTTCGATTATGTTGTTTTCATAATCGTTGCAAGCCAAAATTGTAATTGCGATTAAAATACGATGAATTAAGCAGCCCTAGCTCAAAGTGCACCAGATTGATTCATTTAACTTCAACATTTAAAAAAAATCTTCCCTAGAGGATGTGACGTCCACCACCAAATAAAGCAGGTTAAAATAATTAAATTGCATACATTTTATTTTAGTAAACACTGAAAACGGGTCCCACAGACCCAAACAGCACACAAAGGTTAAAGGTAGCATATAATAATGTTAAAATGTGCTAAATATATACACTGCAAAAAAACAAAAAAGAGGAGTAAAAGTAGCACACGACTTGTTTTATTTTTTGAAAGTAGCTCTCATCCTAAAAAAGGTTGGAGACCCCTGTTATAGAACGATACATTTGACAATTTTAAGCTTGGCCTACCATTTTATTGGAGCGATGAGGAACAGGTGGGGCTTGAAAAGGCCCACCTGTTCAAAGTGGGGAATGACAGAAAGTTTGAGAACCACTGACTTAGACTAAGTTAACTATCTAAACACTCAGAGTCCTTTGCCTCACCTGAGCTGAGGTTCCCCCGAGCTTGAATGACACACAGAGACCAATCAAGGGCTTTGATTTATGATCTGTATGACAGTGGCCATGTCGGCAGGCCACATCATGTGGACAGCCAGTCACCCTGTGTGAGGCAGGCCACTTAACAGGCCAGAAGGAGGCGAGATCAGAGCAAGGGAGCGAGGGATCATTGTCCACAAGTTAATCGATCGCAGATGGCGTCGTGGTCACGGACGAATAAAAAAATGTATTATAAAAAAAACAAAAGAAAACCTAAATGGGTCGCGAAATATACTTGGGCGGCCGTTAATATACCTGGGCGGCCGTTAATATACCTGGGCGGCCGTTAATATACCTGGGCGGCCGTTAATATACTTGGGCGGCCGTTAATATACCTGGGCGGCCGTTAATATACCTGGGCGGCCGTTAATATACCTGGGCGGCCGTTAATATACCTGGGCGGCCGTTAATATACCTGGGCGGCCGTTAATATACCTGGGCGGCCGTTAATATACCTGGGCGGCCGTTAATATACCTGGGCGGCCCGCCCAAGTATAGTCTATGTGTGGAAAACCTGATCAGGATGTTTTTAACTGAGACTTTTATTGTTTTGTTGTTTTCGACGCCTTTCCATCTGCCAGTGAGATAAATGTGGGCCAAACACTTCGCAAGGAGACGAATACATTAAAAACAGTGAAGATGAAAGCAGCTATTGCTCCCAGATGTACTGACGGAGGATTTCTAAAGAACTCCAACAAAGAAAGTCTGTTTAGACTTTAACTTCGGGGCTATTTATTTAAAATAAAAATCATTACATGACATGCACACTTGGGTCTTGAGGGCACTTTTAATGAGAGGGACTGTTGATATCTGCGGCTTAAATAACAACTGTGAGTTTATTTAGTTTATTCTGTTCTGTTTATTTAGTTTATAGTTTATTTTTAATCTGGCTAAACTATATAATGATACATGGCTGTTGAGTGATTTACATGCTCTCTAAATACTGTATTATATTTGGTTTGCCAAAGAAAGACAAATGCATCTCCAGAAAGATGTTTCCGTAGTGTGCTTCCCCAGCCTATCAAATGCTACAACCGTGGACAGTCTGTGGAAATATTGGATTTAAGTATTGATTTCCCCTGAAGCTAACTACTTCCTCAACAGGCAGTAGATATCTATCAGACCACGTAGATATCTTCAGATGCTGCTGAATGATTTCCATTAAGCCGTTTTGCTCTGATTCATGGATGTAACAGATGGAGCGGTGCCACGATAAACATGTCAAGAGGCTATAGAGTAATCTGCTGAGTGTGTGTGGGAGGCTGGATGTGGAAGGTGACGCCAGATAGGTCAGGAAATATGCAAGAGTATGTTCACCTTTAACCTGCAATAACGTTTTATTGGCTATTAAGGGGCATCGGAAAAAAGCTGGCAACAAAACACGGTCTTTTAAGCATATTAGATACATGTTGCAACAGAATGATATTTTCCCGGCACGATAACATCACAGAGAATATATCAGTATCAGACTATTGTTATTTTAATTTGTATTAGTATGGCCACTTATAATGATCCTTAAAAGGACTGAGAAAACAACCTAATTTAAATATGCTACTAAATGAAGCATTTTATTTGACATATTAGCAGCACTTTATATCTTGTTAAATGTACTACAAAATGAACAATAACTTCATCTGCAAGCTTTTAAAATATATTTTATTATGATTATTATGAAATAGTTATAATCCCAATATTTCCCACTGTAACAAGGGTGTCGTATATTTGTAATATGGATGTAAAATTGGTGTAATGAAGGTGTAATAACAGAGTGATATGGTGTTATAATGGTGTTATATGTGTGTAATAACAGTGTAGTATGGGTGTTATCATTTAGTAATAACAGTGCAATATGTCTGTTGTAATGCTGTAATAACGGTGTAATATATGTATATAATATTATATATAATATTATATATATATAATATTATATAAAATGTATACCCTAAATAGACAATATATATTTCAGGAGTGTAATTGGAAAGTAAGGTGTCAAATTTTGAAAAACGAATTACGAAATGTGTCATTTAAGTAAAAATATATATGGTATTATGGTGATCCACAAAGTACACAGACACACTGCACTACTACTCAGGAAAGTCTTATAGAATAACTAACACTGAACTTTGAAAATGGAATAGACAATAACCCCCCTGGTTTAAAAATGTCAGGTTTTAGCGGAGCACTTACCTTGAAGGTGGCGGGTCTGTTGTACTCGGTGTGGAACGTCCCATCTCTGCAACACAAAGCAGGCACAGAGCTCACAACAGCAGGAAGAAAAGCTGAACAACATCATTCAGAGAACACGGGTCCACCTTCCAGAAAGCACTGAGCTGTGGGTGAGTGTTTGACAGCCTGCTGAGGTTCTCACTTATAATGTAGCAGCTCTGCTCCTCCATGTTTAGAGCTGGGGTCCACCTTCACTTTCTTACACAGCTTACGGCCCTCCGATTCCCTGAGAGAGAGAGAGAGAGAGAGAGAGAGAGAGAGAGAGAGAGAGAGAGAGAGAGAGAGAGAGAGAGAGAGAGAGAGAGAGAGAGAGAGAGAGAGAGAGAGAGAGAGAGAGAGAGAGAGAGGAGAGAGATGAGAGAGAGAGAGAGAGATAGAGAGAGAGAGAGAGAGAGAGAGAGAGAGAGAGAGAGAGAGAGAGAGATTAATTCAATCACTTGCATAGTGTTCTAGGAAATGCATTTGTCGATAGAGGAAAGGTGGAAACGTAGTCGGTATCCTAGAATGATTTGATAATGGAAGTCCTTCTTGTATTTTAATGTGTTTTTTTTGTTATACCTCGGGACTGTGGGAAACAGTATTTTGATCTGTCTGTGTGTACAAACATATTTTGAGATTGACAATAACATTTACTTTGACTTTTGTTCACCACCTGGATACAATACATCTATAAAACCCATTTTAAAATGCACTATGATTAGTCATCCCCAATTGGCTGCTGGAGCAGGTTGTCAATTGATACATTTTTGTACCAGTCTTTCCTTTACTTAGCCTATTTAAACTCTCCCTGGTGAAACTAAACTAGTAGAACAATTCATCTGCGTAAAAAGCATCAACAATCTCAACAATTTGTTCATGTATCTTTCTTTATACAACACACATAATGTCCCTTCTGTTCAGTAACCGCTTGTTATATTCTTTGTACTGCTACTATTATGTATTCTGTATATTCATTTCTACATTACATACCTAATTCTGTTTAAAAATATGCTTTGTCGGCACGATTTTTGTTTTACAAAGTCTTTCCAATAACGCTTCACCGAAGTGAATTAGGAAAAGTGGAAGGTGGAAGCGGCGTGAAGACATAACGGTATTTACATTTCAAAGACCAATCGAATGACATGTGTGTGCAGAGCCATATAAACCAGGCTCTATTTATTAGCTGCTCCGGTACACATACATGTGAAATGGGATTATTATGCTGATTACAACCTATAATGTACCACTTGTAAGCATAACGAAAATAGGCTTATTTCTGTAATTGAAAAACCAGAGCCTAGTTGAAAAGGAAATACCACCTACACACACTTCACATTCGCTACAGAGGTAATACGAGCAGCTTGAAGTACTCTTCTGATGTAAAAGAGCAAGGTATATGTGCTTTCATTTAGAGAGAGAAAGACATGGAGGGAGATCTGAGCCCGAGAGAAGGCCTGATGCTAATAAATTCAAAGAGAAGCTGGAATTAAATTACGGCTCCAAGACCCACAGAGAGGCAGATATACGTTCGGTGTATTTCTGCGTTATACGAGGAGCGGTGTGACAGACAGTCCTTCAGGTAATGACTGTGTGCTTAAAGCCATATTCTGCTGACTCATGAAGGCAGATGGCACCGGCAAGACCAGATGTGACCTTGACACGATCTGCAGAGGACGCTCAGTCATCCGATTTAAAACCAGTCTGCCAATCATTGAGAAATTGCCACAAGTGACAGAGGCTGAGAGGACAACACTGGGATAATAAGCCCTGAATTAAAAAAGGGACCCTCATTTAAGTTCACTTTTAATCATTCACAACTGGATATATTGTGAATGAAACATGGTCAGATCTCTGGTTGTTCACGGACGCATGCTGTGAAGTCAATAAGTGAAATTGCTGATTTCAACCTGTTAAACCCCAAGGTCTCCGTCGGCGGGGACCCTGTTTTTTTTTTCACGACACTGTCTCAGGGGATCTTAATATTTAAGAACCTATTAATGTGTTATACCAGATTAACGGAAATAATCTCAGCTAACTGACGATACAAACCATTTTTACCAAAACAAAACACAAGTCTCATAAGAAGCATCTAAATGACCCCTTAGCGAAAAATGCTAACGGACATTGGCACGGAACTCAAGATAAAAGTACCCTTATTACTTATCGTAGCTGCACATACAATATATCCGATTAAAGCTGAGGTTCCACAGATTATAAAGTATCATCACTGAGTGATCCGGACTCGCGACAGGGGAAGCAAATACAGACATCACAACACGTACCTTTACGGAGCTTCTAGGGAGATCGTCTCACCGTAGCTGTCAATCTGATCAAAAGACGTGTTCAATGGCATTACAACGAGAAAAAACGCGTCTGAATCGGTTAATCCATAGGTTTTTAACGTCTCTGTATAGAAAAATGATTTAATTTATAATCCATAATACCATTTTTATGTAAAAATCGGAGAGCAAATGCTAGCTGCTAATGGTAGACACCAGAGTGGCTGCTGCTTCCGGTCTAGGCCATGCGGCAGTCTCACACACACACACATTACCAAATAAGGACTATGTGGGAGTTCCCCTCGATGCCATTGGCTCTGACTATCAGAAAGAGATGTCACATGTCAAAATCCACCAAGGGGGGCCAGAGATATGGAAAATCCACCCAAATGGCCCCAGATGAGTTTTTTTTGTGCTAAATCTGTCTAAAAAGGTCAAATATCACTTGTTTTGCATCAATCTTGATACAGGGTACTTATTATATGTTGTACTTTGGATTCCTAAAGCTTTTAGTCTACTAACCCATCATCCAAGGTTAGTTTTCACTATAAGTACAACATATTGTTTGGACGGACACTATAATTTACAGTTTTTTACCATGTTCAATCTGAATTTTCTTTAAAATAAAAAACATCTATATTGAATCTGACTTTTCTACATCCAACTCACAGGTTTATCATTACTTTGAGAAAAAAGATTATTAATTTAACCCTTTTAGAAGGGAAGATATGGTCATTTGTTCTGGGAATGTCATTTTCGAGCCAGAAACCTGAAAAACAGGCTCTTGGTTTAACAGGTTTTAAAGTTTGACTTTGGGGGAAATTTGACAGAGTAAATTAACTAAGGATCCCAAATTGAGATCGCTGATAGTGCAATTTGGCAGGCTTTCGTAGGAGAGAGTATTAGGGCCAGATGAGAAAATTCGTTTTGGGTTGTGACCAAAAGTTAAAAAAAAAAGGAAAATGGTTAGGTTTCTGAGATAAAAGTCAAATTTCTGAGGAAAAAAAACGTCGGAAAATCTCAGAATTGAAGACTTGACTTTTTTAACGGATTAAAAATCATTATTGGTCAGATCTCAAATCCTTTTTCACATGCGGCCCTCTTCCGAACTTTCGCGATGTGTTTATCCTCAAAAAAAGGTTATTTAGCGACGCTCAGTCCGATTAGATAATGGAGAAAAAATGTCTTACCATTGTGTTTAAACTGGACTGAGCTGGTCAGTCCTGGCATGAAATACCATCCTGTATTGTTAGAAGGCACGATTTGCAGGAATGTGCAAAGGCCAGGTTACATTTCCTGGCTCTGACGAGTACAACAATGGATATGGGCTTTCAGTCTCATACTCTCACAGTCAGACTGACTCACAGAAAAACAAAGTTGCATGCCATTGTGATCTGCCCTTTCTCCAACCAATGACACAGCAGTACGCCTAAATCTCAGAACAAATGGAAGACCAAAGAAGTGGGAATGACTCACTAGTGTTCAGCACACAAAGGCAATTAATGGCAGTTGATCAGAGAACAGTCCGTCGGATGATAAGCACCGCTGTGCATTCATCTCTAGGGTAACCTCAGTCTATGCGTCAGAGCAGGAAGTATACAACTGTTCTGGTAGAAGTGGAGGCTGAGCAGGAGGAGAAGGCGGGCGAGAAGTAATAAGGTGCTGACAAACAGATGAGGATATAGAGACTGTAACAGTGCAGCAGATGCCAAGAAAACAACGGTCCAATCATGTGTTGTTGGAATAAGTCATAATGGTAAAGAACAATTACTCATCACAAAAGGTGAAAGAGAAGAAAAAGAGAAAGACTGTTCTCGCCAACCCTGAGGATTTAAATAAATGAAAACATCAGTTTGTATCTTACTCCTTTAGTTCAAATAGGCCTTGGGTGTGTACAGCATCATTGAGGAAGTGCACTGTTCCAAATACTTGGTTCAGAATTTGCTGGTTCCAGTTGAAAAATGCATATATTCACTATAAATATTTGAATCCTGTTCGTAAATATGGGGTCTAACCTGCTGTCCAACACAAAAAATTCCCCAAATGAAGTACAAAGTACCTATCTATCCATCTATCTATCTATCTATCTATCCATCCATCCATCCATCTATCCATCCATCCATCCATCCATCTATCTATCCATCTATCTATCATCCATTTATCCATCTATCTATCATCCATCTATCCATCCATCCATCTATCCATCCATCTATCCATCCATCCATCTATCTATCTATCCATCCATCCATCTATCTATCTATCCATCCATCCATCTATCCATCTATCTATCCATCCATCCATCCATCTATCCATCTATCTATCCATCCATCCATCCATCTATCCATCTATCTATCCATTCTTCCATCTATCTATCTATCTATCTATCTATCCATCCATCTATCTATCCATCCATCCATCCATCCATCCATCTATCTATCTATCTATCCATCTATCCATTCTTCCATCTATCCATCCATCCATCTATCTATCCATTCTTCCATCCATCTATCTATCTATCAGTTTGATATTAAAGAGGTACCTACTGGTGAAATGTGCAACAGCATTTCCAAAACCTTGGCAATCAGGTTGTGCAACAGAGACCCTTTTTGTGACGGATTCATTATGGATTCATCATGCAAAGAGGATGAAGCCCCTGCATGCCATTTAATTACAACTCTTCCAAAACACAAATCCTAATCCGTGCTGTGCTTGTTTGTGCTCAGCTGCTCTCATTGATCCAGACAAGATCCTGCTTTGTACCGTGTTCTCGGTGAGCACTGTACTTCCCTTCCGAGGTCGGAAGAAGTGGAGTACAAATACTTTGTTACTGTACTTAAGTACATTTTTCTAGTATCAGTACTTTACTCCACTACTTATTTTACTGACGACTTTTTTCTTTTACTTCTTACATTTTTAACCCAAATACCTGTACTTTCTACTTCTTACATATTGAACACAAATACCTGTA